AGTAGTCCACTTTACATTTTGTCGCAGCTGCGGCCACTGCTACTGTCTGCGATTGGCTATTTGCCATACTTAGGGCAGAACAAAATAGTATATTTACAGTATCGGTCATATCAATAGCACCACCATTCCAAAGTGATATTGTTTGACACTTTTGTTTATTTATTTATTTTTTAGAATTTTCAAATAAAATACAGTTCGTTCTCTAACAAAACTCATATAAAGCCAATTTAAAACTTTGTAGAAATCTAAAAGAAAATTAACTAATTTGCATCGAAATTTGAAACCTTTTTGTGAGAAGTGTTAGAATTTGTTTACTTAGTACTTATACAGTTTTATAGCCCATTCAATTTAAGGGTAATAATGCGCAAAAGCTAACGTTGATTTAAATTTTATTTTTTTTTGCAGAAAACGAAAGCAAAACCTAACAAAATTAAAATTCTTTTAAAATATCGTCGGTCAGTAAGATGGTAATAAAATTCAAAATGATATTGTTTGCAACTAATGCTTATTTCGCTACCTAAAGGTAAAACAAGCCCAAATTAGAGGCTCTCGTTAGACTTAAATGCAGTACTCTATAGATTCATTCATTCATTTTTTTCCACTAATTTTTTTTTTTTTGCTAATTTCTTAGGATAGTAGCAAATCTAATTAAACATATTTATCTTACATTAATTAGCGATATGTAAAGTGAAGGCCTAACGTTTTTGTGGCAATCATGGCTAGGGGTGTACAGTCCGTTAGTGAACTCCAAAGTTAATCCTAAAGGCGGATTCATCGTTTTAGTTCAGATCTTTTTTTCCACATGGAAGAAAAAGTTGAGAACCAAAACGATGAATACGCCTTAAGGGCCGTTTTCTGAAGTATTTTTAAATTTTATCTGCAATTCAAATACATTTTTTGAAAACAAAATTTGTATTTTAAGGGCAGATAAATTTATGGAGATTATTTTCGTACTATTCCAAAAAGGCGTACTAAATATAATAAGGAACATTTTAACAAAATACCGAACAAAATCGAGTTGAGATCTTAGGCGTTGGCAGCTTTTTTGACATTAACAGGTCTATTCTGCACGTTACCGAAGATTTTGTGACCGGATAATTGTATTGCCAAAAAATGTTACCACTTCTTGTCACCGCGATTTTAGGTACGTTGGTAATGCAGTGTAAATATTCAGCAGTTCAGCTATGAAGATTTGTGGAAATTCTTGTATTGCATATTTCACGGGGCAATATTTTGTTATATATGTTTGCATATGAGATGATAACAAAATTTACCGGTTACAAGAGCGCACCGAATGCGAAAATGGTTTAAAAATTGACAGACACTTTAACTAACGGCTTCAAAATTTATGTTACCAGCGCAGAATAGACCTGGAAGTGATTTCTTCTTACTGTGTGGCGACCGAGTCGTTACAGGTTTTCACTACATCGATGTCTATTTCCAATAACAGTCGCCTCTCGGCAGGCAAGGGCCAGCCTCCGAGTGCATATCTGGCATGAAAAAGTTTCTACATAAACAATCTTTCGTTCGGAGACGATGTAGAACAGCGCTGTTGCTGGAGTGACAGTCCTTGGCCAAATATAAATCTGGGTCGTTCCAGTTACGTAGACCCGACTGTAGGTCCCTGAATGTCTGTGGTTGCTTGAATACACACACCACAACCCCGCAGAAAAATGTTTTAGTGTGAACTATTTTTTTTTCGACAAAAAATTCACGTCTGAATCTGTTCAGTAGTTACATCGGTAAAGCCTGCGCAGTTTCCATCCTTAGTCTAAATCTTGAAAGCTTCAAAGAAATGCAGTTAAGGAGAAAATGCAGTGCTAGATTGTCCCTACTTTTTACTCCCATTACCAATTTAACTCCAAACATATTTCGTTATACTTATTAAAGTCCGTTAAATAATTTCCTTATTTTAATGGACGTTTTTGGCAGTTTTTATTTCTTTTTTTGGATCGCGGCAATACTAATGTATATGTAGGTACATTACACCTAATAGATTTATCCCAGAGATAATTTAGGTAGGCCTTCTTCTAAGAGACCTACCCAAGAAGGGCTGAAAAAAGCGCTACTTTGCATGACATCTAGAAGGGCTTATCCATAAATGCATAAATTTATATTACTTAGCATTACAAAGGAATTTCAATAAACACTTTAAGTTGCAATAACACATATTTGATATAAACCTTAAGCAACAACTTCAAAGATGAAAAATTTAAAAAATTAAAGCAACTTTAAAAGAACTCCTCCAAAAGACCTTCTGAAAAGTACATCCTATGAAAGCCTTTCTGGAAGGCCTTCCACGGGTAGCGAAAGAAGAAGCCCTTCAATTTGTGCCACTCCATACAAAATAGAAAGGAGAAAGGAATGTAGAGTGGAAGGCCTCTTGACTCTCAGGAAGGCCTTTCGCGAGGGCTTTTAACTCCTGAAATTATCCACTGGGATGTGTGATTATACATACCTAAATTGCTTTGAATTTGCAATAAACGAATTGGATCACACTACTTTTATTATACTAAATTTTGCGTTGTTTTATATTAAGTATTCTTATCATGTTCGCTGATAACAAAGAGGAATTCGCAATTGTTTTCAATTGTTTCTTAGAGGCGTATATGCTGCTCCAATTTGAGAAATAAAGCGCATAATCAAGCAGCTCTAGGCGATCGGTCAAAAGAGTAAACCAATTTGAATTGGTATTGGTACAGCCCAGCAAGCACAGTTTAAAACGTTTGAGAAAAATTTATTTCTCAATTTGATATCAAATGTTTTTCTCAAATGATTCTCAAATTGAAAAGGTTTAAATTTTACATTTGACGTTGATTTGAAGAAAGATGGCGAAGAAAAAATAAATATGAAATATACATTTCCTATAATAAATTTAATTTTCACATTTGAAGTACAATTGAATTGAACCTTAGAAATTGATTTGAGAGTTAACCATATTCTCTACTGGAGATCCAACTCCCCTTTTTATTGAGAAAGCTGTAAGTTTCAAATCAATATCAGAACATTTTCAAACGTTTGACATTTGAGAAAGGCTATGATTTCAAATCATTCTCAAATGTATATAAAACCTAATTGTTTGCTGGGAGTGATAGGCAGCGCATGGTGAAGAACAAATATGAACCACTTAGCCTCCCATATAGGCGCTTTTTACGGTTGGTTAGTTAAAAGTTCAATGACTTGTTATAAATTCTTATGTTATTAGTACCAACGTCTTTAGTAAATATCATTGTTTTTAAAAACGAATCTATAGTTGGTAGTTATTTCCACCAAGCCTTAACTGCAGTTTATGCCGTTTGAAAAACGGAGATTACTACTCGAAGGGGTAATTCCACCAATTAAGTTGAAGCAAACGAAAGGAAAAAGGCAAAACTTAGGAAAAAAAACCTTGCCGATCACCCTGCGTCGGAATTATTTGAACTTCTCTGAGCTCTGAGTTAAGCCTTTGGTGGAAATAGGCTATTACACTTAACCATTACTCCTTGTATATCTTTCAGTAGGTAGTACAAATGTGTAGTAAATCTCCCACAACTTGACTTCTTTGTTTTGCAAGAGTTAAAACGCAAGGGGTACTCATTTCGTATTCGAAATGCATAATCAGTTAAATCTATTGTATATGATTAAATGTGCACCTGATGAAATTGTTAATTAAGCAGTTTTTAAAGTGGCCAAGAAATGAATCATCGTCACTAAAATATAAATGTATTTTCGAGATTTTGCCAACGCAGTCAACCATTTGCTGGTAACAAAGAGTTGAATTTTGCCATTCCTATACTATGTAATGCATATTAGTTCATCACATTTTATTTTTATTTATTTACAAGTTATATTATGAAATCTCAACCACGCAATCAAAGTAAGCATTAACCTTAAGTCGCAATGACTGTTGCGAACAATAAACACCAGCTGAAGCAATAACAAGATTACGTATTTCACTTACCTCTTCCACAGCACTGGCATCTTGTCCAGCTACCAACACGGACAAGAGCGACAGCGCAACAATTGTGGCTGTTGAACCGACGGTGAGACGCATTTTATAGTGACACAGATGTAATGTACGCAATTCGCGTCCACCAATTGATTATAATAATGAAATATCTATTGCCCGTAGTCGCTTTATACTTTTTACGTTTGCAACCACTTTTTCGTTTAATACTTTTTAACAACTTCACAATTTTATTTTTGTACTATCACCATTTGAAACAATTTTCACAAAAACAAACCAAACGCCAAGAAATTCACGAGAAGACTGCTGGCAAAACAGTTGAGGTTGTTCAGTGAATGAGTAGTCCAACCCAGGGTTGCAGTGAATTTCCATGTTTATTTGCAGAGTTGTATGTGGAGGAATGGTGTATAGTTTTAATTAAAAATGTACGAAATTTAAGCAAAAGCTTAAACTAAGTGGCTTTAAATCTTTTCAAGCCTTTACCTTTCAACTCATACAATACTTCGTTCTAAGGAATTTTCTAACAAGTAATGGCACAGAGTTTAAATGGGTTTCAACGGTTCTTACGTCTGATTTCCGTAAATCGTTATATTCGATAACACTGTTTCCGCCGGAAAATAATTTCCGGAAATCGATGAAAATTTGATCACCCTGCCCTTCAAACTAAACATATACACGCTCTACAATAAAAAAATATACTTTCAATTACTGAAACCGGCGCTAGCGCCTCAAGATTAGATAGCGATTTTCTATGGTATGGACGTAGCTATATTTGGAGTAATTAAAAAAACGTTGATCCAATATTTATATTTAAGTTATTTAACCTGGCTAGACCGTAAACTTCCTATTGGATGTCAGAAACGGCAACCACATTGTCGCTGCCTCTTGGAAAGAGTAGATACATAATACTGATGTATACGTTTAGCTGGTAACTTCATGGAGCTATCAATGCGTATTTATCGCAAGTTAATTACATTGCAAGTGCATACATGCTCCAATCTAAACATACATACAACGAATTACATTGAACTCCACAAGTCGTTGGACACAATCCAATCAACATTCCATCACCAGTTTGCTGCTTATCATTATTATAACAGCTTTGTTGTTAATAACAAACGAACGTATAATGGATAACAATAAAGGCGGATACTCAAACAAAACTAACCAACCTTGGTTACGTTGACTACCAATAAAACAACATAAACAGATTATCTGGAACTATTGATAAATCAGGGAAAATAAAGAAAAAGTAATCGGCACAGATAATAGCAAAAACGAAAATATTTGTACATTATGCTAGTAAACAAACAGCAAAGCCAATAAGTTATCGTAAGAACTTTAAATTATAAGCAGCATGAATACACATACTAGTAGATCCTTTTTACATTCATGTCTGAAAGTTCCAATCGATCCATGCAATAATTGTCCTGCACCAATATATAATCGACCAAAAATGTATTTAGGACGGTTGGCGACAACACCGTTAAGCGCTGCAAATAGATCGCTAAAAACAAGTGAATTTGAAAATGTAGACACAATGGCGGGAAACAGTGGAATACGTTCTTTGGCTAAACTATACGACAGCATACCAGGTACGAAAATGCATTTGATGTAATGTAGAATATTTACACATCCCAAATTTTAGATTATTGTGATATAAATCATCTACCGAATGAAGAGTTTTATTCGACTCTTGATACATTGCGGTCCACATGCTGTGAGCTGCGTACCAAAACGGCGCAAGCATGTGTGGTGGAGTCAAGCAGCACGACATCCTCTGTATCTTCACATTTTATCAACATCCAGCGGGGGAAGTCGAGTAAGCAGCCGAAGAGTAGACCGTCTACCGGCAAAAGTAGTAGCAAAAAGAAGGCTGGAAAGATTAAAAGTCAAGGTTACTCAAATCTGCACTGTTCGTCAGAAACTCCTATCAGCAATGCGCATAAATTAGACTTTACCAAGCATAGCGTAATAAAGAAGTGAGCAGTTTTATTCGTTCTCTTGTCTCATTTTATTTATTTTATTTTATTTCATTTTATGGTGTATGGTGAAATTAAACCATGATTATACATAAACAAATTTCACAGTTATAGCAAAGAGTTTGAGGATGAAGTAAAGGAATTCCAAAAAACTTTAAAAGACTTTGAAGACGAGCTCAAACAACGTCATTCATTTGCCGCGTATACGGAATCAAAAATTAGAACAACTAAAGTTAACCCAAACATTAAAGAAGGCAGCGATTTGGAAAAGAGCACAGATAAGTAATGCATTATAGTACCTCAAACATATACATATGGCTCTAATATAAATCCGTACAGACTACCAAATAAACCCAGCGCATCAAACATTCGTGAATTCTACAAAAAGCCTGAAGACAATATGCGTCCGAATTCCAAAGCTAGTAACACAAGTCTTCGGAAGTTTTTGAGAAAATCATTTTCTTTTAATGACATTAATAGCATCGCCGATAGCCGAGTAAGCGAAGATACAGAAATAAAACATCCGGTGGATAAGGTTTCTGAAACTCAAATTCTTATAAATCGAACGCCTTCCAAATTCAGCAGTTATTTCGCACAGAAAACAAGCATGTATGAGTGAAATGAAAGAAAAAAGGCTGAATAACAGTGTTAAAATAATTATACTTCCCATAGTACTTCGCCCGAGAGCATCCCTCCGAAGATTGTTATCGATCCACCAAGTAGTGAAACAACTTCCGTGAAATCTTCAAGTCGCTCGAACGGTGGAAGAAAGAAGAAAAGGCAACAGAGGGACTTTAAAGTGCCTTTTTCAATTTTTAACTTGGGCACGAAAACGGAAAGTCTAAAGGTATTTTCCGTAAGTTTATATATATGTATATGGCGTTGGATGCAATAAGTCGCTTTATGCTTTTATTAATTACCTTTTTTATTGAATTCATTCTGCATTTAAAAAATTCAATATTCATAGAATTCAACTCCATCACCTGTACATCCGGTGGCCAGACCTAACCTCGCTGCTACTTTAAGAGTTGAAGTTTCGAAAAAGAAACTGAAGGAACTGCAAAACAACTGCACATACCACGATAGCACGCCACAATTCGATTGGGAAGTACGCAAAACGCCAGCGTGGAAATCACTTTCCCTCAAGTAAGCGAGATTACATATAATGGAAATGAAAAACATACTGATTTACATCATTCCACATTTTAGTGAGTCGCACAAAGAGATACTGTCCATGCGTTTAGCCACCCGCAAAGCGGAACAGGAAATGCAGAAACGCGAATACGAGCTGAACATGGAGTTAATGCGTCAGCGCGTAAAATCAGCACCACTTCTTTTGGAAGGTGCCACATTTTGGGGTCCTCATATTGGAAAATTAACACATACATGTCAGCGTGAGGGTGCCAGCCACTGCTGCCAAACCAATCAACGCAAAGCGCGTAGTAAAAGCGCCGATAGTCGTAGAAAAGTGTACACTCGTGAGCGAGTTGAGAGTGAATGCAGTCAAAGGAGTAACAAACTAAATATACTACAAAAAATTTATGGTGGTAGTTCAAAAGTGCATTCGCGAAGTGCAACACAAACGCCGGTGAGGAGAAAATCATTGCAATCTGATGGAAAACAACATGCGGAACAAACGCAGGCTCCGCAAACACAAAATGACAGTGGCGATGAATTATCTAGTTTAGATAGAGCATTCTTGTAGGTAATATATGCAAACAAAGCAGACCTAAGTAGATACTAAGTAGTGTTAAGAAATAAAAGTTTTCCTTACGGAATAATAGTTACATATACTATATGATAAGTAGAAAATATTCCTTGATTTGGTTTTTAAGAAGTAATTACGTAGCCTCAATTATTATTTTAAATTTATCTTTAAGTTGTCAAAAGTATCCGCTATTGTAAATGCAATTTTGTCATCGTCAGTCAATGGTGCATTGCCGGGACGATTAAGTATGACGACCTGCATTCCAGCATCGCGAGCTGCTTCAGCCTCTGTAAAATGGACGGATTTTAGTAATATACATAGCGAACATACAGGTTTTTTTACCTTTAACTACATCAGTTAGGAACAGTATGTCTTTACTAGATAATGCCAAGTCACTCGCTATATTGACGTACGATTCCTTCTCTTGCTTGTGACCAATGGCAGTGTCATAATGACCGCTAATATACGTTAGTAAATTCCCAAATTCTGTTTGACCAAAAAGTAGCTGCTGCGCCTTAACGCTACCACTAGAATAAATTGCAATGCTTATGCCAGCCTCATGCCAACGTTTAAATGCCCCCGGAACATCTGCGAAAACTCTAGAACCGCGAAGATATATGTTTCAAAATTTGCAATAGCTGGACTTAAAAGTTTACTTACTGCCCTTTAATATTGCCGCTTGCATATCCTTTCTCCCACACTAGCCCCTGCAGGGTTTTCAGTGGTCCAAGTTTGAGATCTTTTTCAATAAGGAAATTCACAAAACTAGCAATGTTTCCGGCGGAAGCGGCTGGTTGTTCATCGCCACCTCCAAAATATTCCTTATATTGTGGCAGCTTGCGCAAATCCTGGACGATACATTGTGTTTCTGCATCATGCCATCTTTCCTCCAGAAATGCTTTAGTGTGAGTTTTTGCGTAGGGAAAGAGCACATCCTATAATATTCAAAATTCTTTGTGAGCAAAAATTTGGAAAATATGGCTACTGATAAAGCTTATGATAACCTTTACAAAACTGATGGAGGTCGTTGTGCCTTCAATATCACTAAGTACTAATCTCACTGTAAATTCAGGCATGCTAGTAATTTTTCGGCGTTTTTTAGTTAATTTGAGATTCGTTATGTTCAGAAACAAAAAGTGATTAAAAATCAGCTGTTTACTTCCAGTAGAAATGTCACTGATAACAGCAGGGATGCCATACCTTAATTCTTTTAGTAATTTGGTTTTTGCAAAGAACGTAAATCTATAAAAACCCATGAACCAAAAATACAAGATTTCGTAAGAACGCGGCGTTGTATTTGTAAATGGGTTTGAGAAAAAAGTTTCGGGTTCGTCAGCTGAGAGTTAGTTTACACAAGCATCACTATTTTACACTTTTATTTATTCCCTATTCCCTATTCCCACACCACTGACAAAACTCAGCAGCTGACTATTGCCTTTACTACTGCGCCTAATACTATGCCGCGAATTTATTTTAAGCTGTCGTATGACAATTGTCAGTTTTATTGTTATGACCTACTGAGTAAGTGACAACGGCGAAACAATGTTTATATTGTGTTTTAGGCGCAGTAATTGTGACAATAGTCGTATGATGAATTTTGTCAGTGGTGTGGGAATAGGGCGGTAAGTAAAGAAGAGCTAATTCAACATGACAACACATTTTAATGCATCATTTTACCTAAATTGTGCATTTAAAGTGGCTAATTTTCATGATGCAATAATACAAGGTGGTATCAGTTGTGACAGCTCGATTTGATACTGCCTTAGCTCAGTAGAATGAGAAGAAAAACGGGAAGAAATGAATCCCTATATGGGGGAAAAATATATAGAATTTCACATTTTCTCCTAAACAAAATTTGCTTTTTTATAGTATATTCGTTATGAAATGAAATAAAATAAGACAAAATACCTTTTTAAGAAAACAGAGTGTGTATACTGAGAAAAAATAAAAAAAACATTCAACTATATTAATGGGCAAAGAATAGTTAAAGAAGTAACACTGTTTCACGTAAGGCAGTCAATATGGCGGAATTAGAGCGAGAAGTTGCCAACTGATAACACCTTGTATTATTGCATCATGGCTAATTTTGGCTTTCGTTATTTTCTTTGCTTTATTTACTTTTCGCTCGTTTTCCAAAGAAAGAAGATGGCATAGAACTCGCTCAAAAATCCACCTTTTTCACTCTCTTGTTCTTACGTGATCTTGTATCTTTCGTTCATGATAAATAGCGACAGTGAAATAACTTTTTGTCCTTTCTCTTTCTTTCCGTCTTCTGCATCCAACTTCAACACGTAACGCGCTGTCAAAAATGAAAATGGCATTTGCTGGCGCTAGCGCCGCCTTATTGTGCGATGCTATACAAACTGTACGGGCATGGGGATTTTTGACATTTGTTTGGTGCTTGACGTGCCAAGTTACGTACGGCAGTATCGCCCATTCGCTCGATGTTCGCAGTATTCATCGACGTTTCTCGCTGTCGAATATTCTACGTCTTTCCTGGAACATTCAGTTATACTTGCTGTTACAAACGCTACAGACCATTCCACCTTCATCTTGTTTCTTGGTCTCCCAACGGTCTGCATTCGATACAGTATATTTTGCTTTGCTGCCTTTATGCTTAAGTGCACATTTAAGATACCTACCCGAAAATACGCATCTGAGACATTATTTTTTAAATTTATAAAGAAACTGCTCTGATAGATGCATTCAACATACATGCACATTGGCGATACCTGCCTTAAAAATTATGCAACTAGTACCAATTATCAAAGAAAGTATTACGTTTACCTGCACTGGCCCTGCAATTACCTTATTTTACAAGCTTTTATTTATTTTGCTCATATCGCAGAACAAAGAAAATGGCTATCAATTTATGTAGTTATAAAAATAATAAAAAACCATTCGAAAAAAATTTCGCTTGCATTATTTTCTACGTGATAAGTGCTTTTCCATTATTTGGTTTCATAGGGATTCGGATAACTTCTTCATTGAAGTAGTAAAGAAAATTCGCTTAAGTCCTTTTTCGGTTAGGTGCACAAGTTTTTTGTGCCAAGAAGGATGTGCAGCTAAGCAAAATATACTGTACACTACGTCATTCGGCCGTTTGACGACCTTATACAGGACCTTCCCAGTTGCATTGTAGTTTTTGGGACAAAACTTTCCTCCGTTGAGGATTGTGCAGCAACATCAAATCTACTTTTTTGGAACCTTCGGAATTAATCGCCTTATCGTACCTGGATTTCATCCTGCCACTCATAATTTGCGTACGTTGTCTCACTAGAGCATGTATCTCTCTCAGCTCTTCCTCCAGGATGTTGGACGTCTCTTTCACAATTCTTCTTGCATCACCACTTACTCCAAACTTCAGGTCACTAGGTAAACGGGGTTCACAGCCGAATATTACCTTGGCAGGAGTTTCAGCCATGGTTTCATGCACTGCTGACCGGTATTCCATCAGGAGCAAGGAAATACGGACATCCCAATCTTTCTGATTCTTGTCCACGACCTTCCGCAAATACTCTTCCAGGGTTCGGTTGAATTATTCCACTGATTGGGGATGAAGAGTTGTTGCTCGGATACCCACTATCTGGCATACCTCTTGAAACACCGCCGATTCAAAATTTCTCCCCTGGCCAGAGTGCAGTTCCATAGGTACACCCTATCTCGACTGATTGCCGACAACCAACCCAATGCTTAATCTTCTCGAGGGTCTTCTTGATTTCCAGGTGCCCTCAACTAGGGTCATTGTTAAATTCCTTGAGTACATCTGAAATTCTTACCCTTGGAACTACTATTAGGTTGCGGGAGCTCTGGAAATCTTAAGTTTCCCATACCATATGCAAACAGCCAGATATTAACTATAAGATGTTCCATTGTGCCCAGTATGCATTTGCCATAGGGTTTTCCGCAGCCATTTGTTCCTTAGTTGGCCGTCTGTCCATCTCCATGCATCAATAGCTCCAGATCTGGACCTTCCTGCTGACACTTTAGTAGCTGCCTTCCACTCTTCCGCTGTTGTTTTTTTTTCGTTATCCTGATGTCAATAATGTCTTCTTTGGCATCAGCTTTTGAGCAGTGTTTACATTCCAGGCTACATGGTCTCCGGGACATGGCATCAGCATTTCCGTGGACACTTCCCTTGCGGTGCTCAATAGCGAAGTCATAACTTTGCAGTCTCTCAATCCACCTAGATAGCTGTCCTTCTGGATTCTTGAACTGTAGTAACCACTTCAAAGCTGCGTCCATAGAGGGACTTGTGGACATGTTTGACACACTGCACCCACCCTAGTAGTTCTTTCCGAGTTACGCAGTAGTTCCTCTCTGGTTTTCCAATCGACTGGCTATAGTAGGCAACTACTTTATACTGTCCATCAATTACTTGCGACAGTACGCCTTCTATAGCGCAACCTCTAGCTTTATTTTTCCTAGAGCGCTCATGAAAGCTATTAGCAACGCTGGCGAAGTTCGGAACAAATCGACCGTAGTAGATGCATAGCCCAAGAAAAGTTCGTAGTTCACGCAGGTTCCTGGGTCTTGGCTAATCCTTAACTATTTCTATCTTTTCATTCGCAGTGCAGATGCTCTCCGTTGTCACCTTGTGACCTAAGTAGTTCACCTTCTTCTTGAACAGTGTGCACTTTTTAGGACTTAGCTTCAGAACAGAGTCAGCTATCCTCTGGAAAACTTCTTCCAAATTAGTCAGGTGTTCCTCAAAGCTTTTATCCAACACGATAATGTCGTATAGATACACCAAACATGTTTTCCGCTGCAGTCACTTAAGCATATGGTCCATAAGTATTTCAAAAGTGGCAGCAGCGTTGCATAATCCAAAGGTCATCGCCGTGAATTGCCAAAGACCACTCCAACGCTGAAAGCTGTCTTCTCTTTGTCGTCGCCACTAAGTCTACTTGCCAATAACCGCTCCTAAGGTCGAGTGTTGAGAACCACTTTGTTTCACTTAACGAGTCAAGGGTATCATCGATCCTGGAAAGTAGATAGCTGTCCTTCTTTGTCACATCATTTAGTTTCCGGTGGTCTACGCAGAACCGCATTTGACCATTCTTCTTCTTCACAAGTACTACCGGCGAACTCCATGGACTCGCTGATGGTTCGATCACACCACTTTCGCTCATTTATTTTATCATTTGGCTTACTGTGGCACGTTTGCAAATGAAACACTTTGAGGAGCTTGACGGATCGGCCTTGCAACACTAGTATCAATGCGATGTTTCACAACAATAGTCCTGCCTGGTTTGCTGCCGTCCTTGTGGAATATGCTGGAGTATCTGCGGAGAAGTTCCTTAACCTTGTGCTGGTATTTTCCTTCCAACCATTCTGTCCATGCATTGATCTCGTCCGAAATGTCATTCTCGCCAATGGAATCTCTTTTAGGTAACTTTTGGCAGTGGAAAATTGCCTCTACCTCTCGACACTGCCCCAGTAAAGTTCCCCCGCTAGGGCAGGCACCTTGACGTTGGTGCGGGGGCTTAGCTGAACTATCAACCGGGACGCATCAGGGGGTGCTAGCGTGCACGTATCAGCACCTCCCAGGTATGGTACGAGCGCTGCACTGCTCTGATGCGGCCCGCTGATGGACAGCGACCAAGAACTGCCACCCCCCTAATCCAGGGTGTAATGCGACACCGTGCCCATTGGAGGGTTTGCAGCCAGGGGGGTCAACAATCCGGCTGTATTATAACGGCGCCTTCCTGACACCGGGCCGCCTCAGGGAGTAGCGGTGGCCTTACCGTGGCAAGGGGCGCTACCACGGCGGACGACTTGAGATCGCCGGAACCATATTTTGACCGCTGAGCTCGCCCTGTCGAGCAGGTGGTCGTAAGAACAAGATGAGCTACAAAAACAACAACAAAAAGAACAAAAATAAAAACACAAAAACCAAACGATGGCTTGACTGCATGAGACCTCTCGCCAGAAGAGGCGGCGTTATTTGCCGAGCACGCCCGCGATGACGACGGCCCCTCCTGCAGTAGAAGCAGATCAAGCCGAAAGAGAGGCGGGAAGACGCCCGCCGGTGAAAGCAGGGAACAAAGACCCCAAATAAGCAGCGAGGATGAGAGAGACACGAGCCAGCAACACCCAAAAAGTGCCTATGAGACCGCGACAGACTGGAGAGTGGTCGAGGATAACGTAACCCGCCCCTCCGAACAGCAACCGAGCACATATGCTGACCACAAACGGCATGGGTCCGCCGAGAGAGGCGAAGGAATATGGCTGGAGGGAAGAAAACCCTCGCCAAAACGCGGAAACACTCGCAGGCGCCGGAGGAATGAGTCCGATAGCAGCTCAGGTGAAAGCTACACCACTGAATCCCAGCGAAAACGGCCTTCCCACCACCGGGAAGTAGCCCATAGAAAACACGGGATCGGACAAAATGAGCCAGCGACTAACCAACCTCGGCATCACGAGGACTCGCAGAGGAGGCTCGAGGGCATAAGGACCTCGCCTCAACGCGACGCCCAGCGGCGTGCAGACACGCCCCCCGGCGGACAACAGCAGGGGATACAACACCTGGGACTTGAGGGCAGAATGACCTCGTCTCATCGCGACGACCAGCATAGGGCTGATCCACGCAGGAGGCTGGAGGGTGAACAAACCTCGCCTGCAGACGCTGCACGGAGACAAGAGCCCAAACACAGAGGGATGGGGGGCAGAGGGACCTCACCTCCACACAACCCGCAGCAAAGAGAATCCCAACACATGAGACTTGAGGGCAGTATGACCTTGTCTCACTTCGACCACACGCGCAAGGAAGACACGAGCAGGAGGCTGGAGGGCCGAACGACCTCGCCTCCCATCAACTTGCAGCAAGGAGGGTCCCAACACCTGAGACTCGAGGGCAGGATCACCTCGTCTCACTACGACCAAACGCGAAGGGAATATACGAGCAGGAGGCTAGAGGGCAGAATGACCTCGCCCCCAGGCTCCCACTATCACTCTGACCCAACGACAAGGACATCGCAACCAGAGAGACGCGACCGCAGACACCCGAATGCTGACTCGGACAGCAGCTCAGATGGGCAATGGACCATCGCTACGAATCGCAAGCGTCATCATTACGTGCCTGAGGGAAACACAACCTTGCCACACTACACCCAGGGGAAGGGAATCTCGAGCAACAGGCTGGAGGGCAACACGACCTCGCCTGTGCGACAGCACCGACCACAACATATGGTCCACGGCAGGGCCGAGGATAGAGAAGCCATGCCACCCCATGCAAAAGATCAACGGCATGTGAAGAGCAGGACCGCCACAAACAGGTTCGAGGGCCGTATGACCTCACCCCAACGAGCATACCACTGTATGGACGGCAGAGCTGGGCTTGAGGGCCGCAAAACCTCGCCCTCTCGCAACAAGCAAGGTCCGAAAGAGAAGGGAAGGCTCGAGGGCCGGAGAACCTCGCCTACCCAATACACCGATAAAGATGTGAGCAGCATGCCCCCTGGAGATGACCGAAGAGCCCCCAGACGTAGGCGCGGACCAATAGCGCCCGACCTGGGAAAACCAGGAGCACGAGACGACCCGCGGCGAAGAGGCCTCAGCGGTGCTGGAATAGCACGGTACCTCCGGTGCTTAGAAAGAGGTCTGAGTCCTGACACGGCACGCAATGAGGCGGTGAAGACAGATGGGAAAAGGGTTCCTGCTGTCAAGCGCAACACCAGCCAGCGCACACCGGCTAACCAGCAGCCAGCTAAGCGTCCAAGAGATCACCAGCCGAGTTCGCCCACTAAAAATAGGGCCCAGGCAAGTAGCCAGACACACGAAAATGACAGGCATAACCAGCAATCGAGCTACGCGGATGCGATGAGAGCAAC